TATGCTGAACAACTACATCCACGGCACTTCTGGTCGTTCTCCTAAGATTGGCGGTGACAGCGCTGCGAAGGTTGTCGCCCACGTCGCCAACAACTTCTGGGGCAACAACTCTGGTCACTCTTTCGAGATTGGCTCGAACGCTTGGGTTCTTGCTGAGGGCAACTACTTCAGCAACACGAAAATGCCTCTGTACACGGGCACGGACGGAGCTTTGTACGCTGCAACTAACAGCGACGAGTGCTCCAGCTACCTCGGTCGTTTGTGCACGGGCAACAAGGTCGTCAACAGCGGCAGCTTCCAGTCTCGTAACGGTGGAACTGCTCTGAACACGATTAAGGGTGTCTCTGCTTTCGTGAACTACAAGCCGGATACCTCCAAGACGACGAGCGGCTCTAAGCAGCAGGAACAACAGGAGCAACAGGCGTCGCAGACCAGCGACCCGGAGCAGCAGCAGTCTTCCCAGAAGGGTGAATCGGCCCAGGAGGAGTCTTACGTAACGAGCGGTTCCGAGCAGCAGCAGGAGCAGCAATGGGGCGGCTCGTTGCCGTACTATGGCGGTTCGGAGCAGTACTGGGGTGGCTGGCAAACTAGAAAGCTTGCTGTCCAAGCCAGTGCTGGTGATTTGGAGAAGGAATGGCAGCAGACCACGGGTAACTTCGGTGTGGGCAAGCTGGACTAAGTGGAAGTTGTAGAAGCTACTGCACCGGGGAAAGTATTCTACTACAGAGCGGGGGGCTCCTAGATTGTTTCGTATACGGTAGTGTTTGAGAGATATAGATAACTGGTGTCAATGAAAAAATCATGAATTTGCTTCATTACTGATATTTTTATATAAGTACATCCGATTGTAATTCAGTCAATTTGAACATCGTTCGAAGTATCATTCATGCCACATTTCCACTTCATACGTTTCGATTAGTGTGCAGAGCACCAATGCTAGAGCGTTTGGCTATAGGCGGATGGGCTACATTGATCTGCCTTCTTTGATCTCCCCAGGGTAATTTTTAAAGGGTCGTATTCGGGCATGACGTGGACTTAGTTCGAAGGTATGGCTAGCATAAC